CTGAGGGAGGGTCATGGAGCAGGCTGGTTGGGATGAAGACCCAGCTGCCACTTTTAACAAGCGATGGTAACTGTTTCAGCAGCCTTGAGAGCTGAGACTCATCAGAGGGTGAAACCACAGACTTTTTGGCCAAAACAGATAGTCACTGGTGGCAAGTGGCAAGGCCTCTGGTTTGTTTTTATTTGCTTTTGATTCTACCAGGTTAATCCCAGTCCCCCAGCAGAAACAACAGAATCATCCAGATGATGTGGATTTCTTGTGACCACTTACAAGAAATGGCATGTCATTTCCAGGAATTATTCTGTGATCTTCTGATTTGGATGCAGCAAAGAGTATAGTATATTCTACAGTCACACATGTTGAGGTACCACTGCACTAAGAATCAAAAGATAATTTGAATAAAAGTGCTAATTTGAATGTCAGGATGCTTCCCGATTCCTACAGTGACTTTTCATGACCTGGTAGGCACTCTTGGCTGAGGTAAAGTCCAATCACAATATGAGGAGATGCTTTCTGAAGGAATTGAAATGCTCACTTTGTGGGATTTAATCCTCTTCAGAGGAGACCAGGATAGCCATTATCTAACAGGCAGTGGCATAACTCAGAATGCACAAGTACTGCCATAGTTGGCAAAGGACAGTGTGTCTTTGGTGTAAATATGCTTCCTGCAGCTGACTCCATCTGAAATTATGTCTAGGCTATATTAGTGGAGGGAAAAATGAGTATCTTTTCTTTCATCATATAGACTTCTAGGAAGCCCTACGCATTGCTACCTTTTCTGCAGTAGTTGGGCCAGATCATTCCTCAACTTCTTTGGTGGTGCAGCTTGAACAAAACAACTTTACTGAGGTACCTTAGATGCCTGCATAGTGGATTCCATTAAAAGGCAGCCTGTCTCCTCCAGAAAACATTGGATGTTCATGAATTGCTTATTTTTGTGACCACCCTCTATTTTCTTATGGCTGCAGCCACTGAGAGAAGCATGAAGAGGCTTCTCTCTCAGAAAAGACCATTAAGACACTGAATATTTTCACTGAAAAGAGCTGTTTGTTTTTATAAGGTTTAGCACTTTTTATTCAGCTTTGCTTGTAAGGGACATCTGAAGACCATCTCTCCTGTTTTGTGTTGATCCTGTCACTTCAGAGAGAGATTGGTCCAAATATCTTTACCCCAAAAATGCTTCTGTCTGTATTTCAGCGGACACATTAAACTGAACATGTATTTATTTCGCTGTAAGCCTTGTATGAGGTTTTGTCTTTCCAAATTGTAATGAAGGGTCTTTTCAGAGGTCTTGATGCCTCCCTGAAGAGAATCTCAGAAAGTTTCTCTTACTTTTATAATAGATTCATAGATGCACTTTTCTAAATAGCTTTGTTTGGTCTGAGACTCACTGATTATACAGAGTGCAGAATCTCAGGGTAGATGTGCAACTTCGCTCTTAATTGCCCATTAAGGGTATTCTGAGTTTGTAGGAACTCTCTTAGAGGTTATGTTTTTTTTCCCAGACTCCATGTCCTGCAAAACAGTTCCAGGATATTAATATTGGTTCTGAGGCAACTTGGATCCTTTCTGAGAGCTTGGAAGAATTTGCACCACCATCCTCAACCTTCATGTCTGTCAGCACTCACAGATCACGTAGTGTGAGACTGCAGACATGGCACATTGCAGGCATGTCTTTGGGTCTCTTCCACCTAACAGTCATCTGTTGAATGTGATTGTGTCAGTACAAGGGAACTGGGGGACTTTCTTTGGTGACAGATGAACCGTGTGTGCATTTCTACACTCCTTTTGCTAATTATGGGAGCTCAGCTTGGAGAGCTCAGGAGTGCTGTCTCCCAGAGGAGTGCTGGGGTGTTCTGGGAGGTGTATGATTTGCAATTGTGTGTTCAGTGGCGACCTGCGGCTTCAGCCCCAGCATGGATTGCCTCATGTCTTCCTTGTGTGTATAAGGGCTGGATACATATGATTGCTGAGCTGTACTTAGGTCAAGCTCTGATCCCACCAGGAAGGGTCAAGGATTTTTCCTGGTTTTTGTTTCAACTTGGGCTTCATGCTTTGGTACAACTCTCTTTTTCCCTGCTTTCTGACCAGTCAGTTTCCTGCTTTGGCAACTCATTCATCCTACTGACCTTGCCTGTCCTCTTGGCTTATATCAATCTCAGCCCAGATTTCTGCATCAGGCCTGAGTTGTGGTGGTTGAGTGGGGTTTTTTTTTGGTGTAGTTCTACTTAGCTGCCTGCTCCAATTGGCCAGTAGCTTTTGTTGTATTCAAGTCCTAATGGAGACTCATTTGTAATGGACATTAAGTCCACCGTGTACTTGCCTATGCTACAAACAGGATCTCACAAGTTCTGTGGAGCCAGGTGTGGTGCACTGACTACATCCAGCAGTCCTGGGGGTTTGGCTTATTGAGATGTGCTGCAAAGAAACGTTGAGGAATGGTGTCTTTTCCCTTTATACACCATTAAGAACCTTAAAGTTTCTGAACTTTGTGGGCTTCCTGATGCCTGATGGAGACATTTTAGGTCTCGCTTGAGTTTACAGATGCCTTTGACACCACTCCAGAATTTTCCATAAGGTTAGCGAGATGTGAGGAAAAGAATCCTGCAGAGCTTTGTATACCCCAGAAAACTTAATTACCATGACTTTCATTTTTTTTTCTTCTTCTTTTTCCCCTCTTTTTTTTTCAAATAAGAATCCACTAAACCCTTCCCTCTTTCCACACCAGATTCACCTCAGATCTACTTAAATACTTTTATCTTCATCAGTACAGACTGGAAGCATTCCACATATTATTCTTGACCACTTGGGACTTTAGGCAAACAATTTCCAGTCATTTGAGATGAAAAATACTTAATGTGGAAAATAACAAGTAAGGCAGAACAAACATCCATTTCTAGGTGCAGATCTCATTATCTCTTAGACCTGTAATTTTAATTACTTACATGAGCCATCTTCTTGACAGGCATATTGAGAATAATTTAATTTATCCAATAAAATGAAAATGCAATATAGTGGTCGAGGACTTTTTTTTTATCTTTATTTAACAGGGGGTTTAGAGCAATGCAAAAATTCCCCAGATGTGCAACATAGCAAGTAATCATAGGTGGCTGAGGTTATAAACTTGGTTATAAACCAGGTTTCTCATATTTTAAAGGATTAAAATTATTATGAACTTAAACCGTCTAGTATTGAGATATGTAGCAGTAATATTTTAGGCAATGTATTTGGCACAAACTTTCTTCTCTGTCTATATTTGTAGTTGTAAGTGTGTGCACTTTTGTTTTCAAGTGTCATTTTTTAGTTTATTTTTAAAACATTAAATAGAAAGTCTGTATGTTAAGTTTCTTGAGTCATAAGTTTTAAAGCTATATCTGAAAGGGGTATGTACACAAGTATGTAAATATACATATGTATGTCTATAATATGAATGCTTGTGTTTCAGAAAATTGTTTAAATATATTTATCTTTTAATAAGATTATTAAAATGCAAATATTAGCAATAATTTAATTTCTAGAATTCAAAAGTAATATACTGTATTCAGAAATCTGAAGTGGCAGACATTTGTGTTTTAAAAAGGCTTTATTTCAAAAAGTTGAAAAAAAAAGAAAAAGTACTTTTACATGGACTTGATCCAACACCCAAACAAGGAAAGGAACTGACTCCTACTGACTTGAGTTGGGAACCCTAGATCAGACTCTAGCTACAGATGAGATTTTTTTTTTTTACCTTCTATTAGACTGATGGTAAAATAAATGTGAAATAGAGAAGATTGAGCAGACGTATGTTTACAGAAAATGACAAACTCGGTGGTTTAGGGCACAGAGACTTAATGGCTTTGATACTAGAGATCCAAGTTCCAGGCTACTTGTTGCAGGCCAGGTTCTGCTCTTGAAGCCTCTGCAATTGTGCTTTTCTGCTTGTTTTGGAAACAAACTAATAAAAAACTCCAAGGAAAAGGCTGCAAAACTCATGCTAAATTTAGTTCATATAATGTACAGCTTAGAGAAACAGTGTTTAAAAAGGATTATTGTGGGAAAATTATAAACTAATTTAAATGTGACAAGTAAGCTTTCCTTTGCTGTATGTAAACATCTATACACATTTATAGTAGACATTACATAGAATAAGTGGTTTGGATGAAAGCTGTAGGAAGAATCTCAACTTCAAGAATTTCTGAGTGTTTAATTTTGCAATGTTAGTGCTGATTCCTTTTACTCTGTATACCAAAACCTCTACAGTATATTGACCATTGACTTTAAATAAAGACTAATGTATCTAATAAGAAATAATTTAATTATTTATCTCATTATGGATGAATATTGGCAAGTGTAACACTAAAACATAAATTTGTTGTCTTTGCTGCAGATGCTATGGCATGGTCACTAAGTATTATTCTGTCTTACTAAAAGCATGAGGGTGTTTCCTTCCATTTCCAAACAGTGCCTGCATTTTAAGTTCAGGAGAATATCTTGTTCCCTTAAACTTCACCACAGTACTTTTAAATTTCTTCCCATGTGCCAGTGTCTTTCCCCTGCAGTACTTCCTTGATTTTCTCCCCTGTAGTCTGCCCTGACAATATCCTTAGTTAGCTTCTTGTTATATTCTCTACCATCTCCTATTTTGCTGTGGAGGGTGGGGTGAGGGAGCACTTAGGGTCTCTTTGAGGGTGACCACTGCCTTTCACAGACCATGAACAGCAGTTAAGGCCTGAACTCTTTTCTTAGGTCACTCTTGTCTAGTGATTTGATGATTTTTGCCAAAATTATAAGACCTTGTTATTTTTGAGGAAAAAAATTGGTTTAAATTAGATGGTGAGTTTTAAAGTTACTTTTGGCAGATGGACCAAGATGCACAGAAAAAAACCCTGGCTAAAAACACTGCCCAAAACTCTTTACTTCCCCTTAGTCCAGAAGGACACACTTTTTTAAAGAAGAGTTTATATAAAAGTATGTCCATTTGTTGTCTACTTAGATATTTGCCTTTTGACTTTTTTTAGGTTCAGCAGATAGATCGTGTAGTAGAAGTCGTGGAAGAAACTATTAAAGGTAAGCATCACACTTGAAATAATTGCAGCTAGCCTGAAACATGTTAGCTAGCAGAAGTGCTGCTGATATGTTCTTTATCAACCTAATGCTTGCTTTCTTCTCTAGCTAAAATTCTCTAGTTTTTACAGTGCTATACTTTGTCATGTATGCTTTGTGTAGGTGATAATTTCAGGGATGTTTTCTGTCAGGAGCTCTGTGGATTCATTTTAAGTTGCACCAGTGTAGGTGGGTGTAGGGTATTGTATAAAGCTCCTGCACTATCTTAATTCAGTGTTATATGTCTACTTTCTTTTGTTTAGTTCTCTAGTGTTTTCTTCTTTTCCGATGTTTTGGCTTACTTCCCTAAACTTTCCTCAGCAGGACAGATAAATTATCTTCTGGTTTAATGTCCTTTGTAATTGTATTCCTCTCTGGCTGTGTTCATGTGTGTGTACACTTAGTACTTTGCAGTGAAGGAGAGAAAAAAGAGTATTGTTTCTGCAGCCTGACTAGTAAACATTTGCTATTAAATAAATATATTTGTCTGGGTCTTTCTGGGTTACCTAAGTTTGTCTCCATTACTTATCAGACCATAAAAATTACTGTTCCATGAAGCTTTAAATTACAAGGTTTAGTTTAACTGGCTGTACTTTCAATATAAACAAGTGTCTAATCCACAAGACATTGTCTGTAACTTTAATGCTGGAGTATGATGTTTTTGAACTACAACAGATTTAGAGCAGTACAAAATTGTAAATGGAAAAAAAAGCTGCTATCAAGAAATTGTGTAGTGTGGTGTAAGGCTTCTAGAGCTTGTGGCTTGAGGCCTTGAGAGTCATGTTGCTTTGAATGTTTTCAGAAGTGAAACCTGTACTCTTATGTACTCCCAACCAAAACTTTTTCAAGTTTGTCGTTAACTAATGCCATTTGATTTTTTGGGTAAAACCTACTGTACCATACAAACAAAGAAGAAATACATTCAACATATTCATGTTTGTTATTTAACAAGCCAAACTGTTTTCCCAGAAGCATAATGGTATTTATGACAATGTGTTGGAAATGAGGATGCTTCATGATTTTTAACACATCACAGTATTTCAGATCCCTGTCTGTTTTTTTTCTTGAAATTTATTTATTCTTAAGGGAGTAAGATGATATCCTAGGTCAGCATGCCCTCCCTTTTCAAAAATGGGCTTTGTAATATTTATACTGACTCCAGATATTACTGCTTTTTGATAACATAATTACTCAGGTTGTTGTGACTGAATATTATATAAATATAAAGATTATAAATAATCTAGAGCAGCTGTTAAAATAATGATTTTCACGGAATGGATTTTTAGATTGCATTTTAATCATTGATACAATTCTAGAAAATAAGGTTCATAGACACACTGAGAAACATTTAAACTTCAAAAAGCATGATTTTTTGGAAAGATTTTGGTTCCTTTCTAGCTAACTAGAAGTAATTTGAATTAAAAGGAGAAAGTGCACTGTCGAATTCCGTACGTAGTGCCAATTTCATCAGAGATTTCCCGAAAGGTAGTGGAACACAGGATTTCTGAAGTTTTATTGGAAAAAACCCAACAAAAATGGCTCCCCAGTGTGAGAGAGACATGGACATATTGGAGAGAATCCAACAGATATGGTTAAGAGACTGAGGCCTTTCTCCTCAAAGAAGAGCCTGAGAACACTGGGGATGTTCATCCTGGAGAAGAGAAGGCTTGGGGGGGGATCATAAGAATGTACATAAATACCTGATGAGAGGGTGTAAAGAGGATGGAGGCAGATTCTTTTCAGTGGTGGCCAGTGACAGGACCAGAGGCAATAGGCACAACCTGAAACATGGCAAGTTCCCTCTGAACACCAGGAAACACTTTTTGACTGGGAGGATGACTGAGCATTGGCTCAGCTTACCAAGGGAGGTACTGTTCTGGATGTATCGAAAAACTGTCTGGGTATGGTCATGGGGATCTGGCTCTAAGTGGCTCTGCTTGAGTGAGGGGGTTGGAAAAGATGATCTCCAGAGGTCACTTCCAGCTGTAATCCATCTGTGACAATAAAACTACAGGAAAGGAAATCAACAAATTCACAGAGGTCATAGCATATGATAATGGCTTACTTTTGTAAGAGTCAACGATAAAAATAGGAGGTTTTACTTATGTTTCTTTAATTTAAAATTATTTAAAGAAGAGGCATTAATTTATGTATTTGGGAATCATCTACTAATGGAGAAGAATGTGAACCTCTTTTTTACTGTTTTATGGGAAGAGTCTAATCATGAACTTTCATTATCCAAGTGAAGTAAAATGCTGTAGATAACAGGACTGTTGATTAAGAATATTTTATAATATAAAATAGATACATGGTAGAAGATTAAATTAATGTAAAACCAAATTAAATGTAACCCTCTTGTCTTCATGAGTCTACATCATTAGTAACAGCTTCTGAAGACACTAATGGGTTCAGGAGATGGAGGTGATGTGGGACAAAGGATTAAATACAAATTCCAAATTCAGAGCCAGCTTAGAGCAGTGAGTTTTAAGTTGGATAGCGTTCATAGCTGAATGACACAGTTTTCTTCAATTTTTGTTGTTTTGTTTTTGTGTTTTGTTTTTTGTTTTTTTGTTTTTTTTTTTTTGTTAAGGAAAATCTGAAGTTTACCAGGGTGGTATACTCCTGTAATGTGGCCATGCATATATTGAAAGCTTAAAAAATATTATATATTGAAAGTTTAAAAAATGTTTTGACTGAGTATTTAAATTGAATAAGTATGAACTTCATAGTGTCTGCACTCTGTAGGGCAACTGTCTCTCTAGATTGGTCAACCTAACTGAGTTGTCTGGATTTTCTGTCCAGATTCCAAAGTGGTTACCCTGTTGCCAGTATTAAGTCTAAAAGTCTGGCTTTCCCTGGGTTCCCATTTCTTGAGGGGTACCTTAGGGTTTTTTTTCTTGGATGCTTGAATTTTATAGTGCATGGTTTACAAAAAGGGAAACTTTGTAGAAAGAATGTTTTCCCTTTTTATTTTCCTATTAGTCATCTTTTTAGTTTTTCATGAAAATGGCTTCCCTGTTGCATTTGGTTGAAAGCTTACTGTACTCCCAAACAAAACTGATTTCTTGGAATTATTTAGAGCTCTTTGTATGAAATACGAATGGGTTTCTTCTAGTTTTATTTCTTAGTCTTGAGGGCATTGTCAGGAAAACCTGTTAAAAACAGTGTCATTCTGCTGGGTCAAGAGATAGTTTAAAGAAGTGGTGGTCTTTGTGGTGGTCTTTACCTCATCTGTGTAAAGATAGCATAATGGTCAGTTCCCAACTCTCCATTGAGATAATTATGATAAACACTTTTTCTGTGACTTTGTTTTTTTTTTATCCTTCCTTGTCAGAAAATGAACAAGGATGTGCATGTTTGTTATTGCATTAACGACCAAAAGAGAGACAGAATTTTTAAGAGACTCAAGGATTTCTCATTTTTATGTCATCCTGACTTTTATCACAGGTCTTGAATTGAATCTGTGAAATATCCTAATTATCAAGTAAATTGTCAGGTAAAGTGTCACTTCCAGAAGCAGTCTTTAATAGCAGTGCAGTATTTGTATGCAGGTCATATCTAATTAATATTTTACTGTGTCCCAAGATATATTTTAACTAGAGGCATCTTCAAGTGCTTTTCATATCACATTGTAATTTATAATCTGAAACCTCTATACTGCCTGTGAGTAGCTAGACAAATTAATTCAATCTCAGTCTCAGAACTGGGTTTCTCTAAGTGACAGGCACAATTGTGTAGCCAGTGTGTGTTCCTGATTAACAGAATGGTTTCATCATGCAAGGTTCTGATTTAACAGTTTAGTAAACCTTGCTTCATCTGCACATCACCCAGATTTTAAGACTGGATTACAGCAGTTTTTGCAACATTAGGGCACCAATTCCCACTCATGTACTTAGTTTTCCAGTTATGTGTTATGATGATGTAGTATGTTAGGAAAGTATTGCTAAGGAGCTGTGGTGTTGGTGAGCTATGAGAAAACAGGATTATAATTGATGTATGTTCCATTATTTAGTAAAATTTCTGTGCAGAGCGAAAAAGCTGTTTGGGCTGATCAGTCTCTATAGTATGCGCTAATAAACTGAAGATTTGTCTGATGGGAACCACAGAATATCTTTACGGTGATTGCTCAAGTCAGCATTTTATTAACCACTCTAAAAGCTTTTTTTAAAGAAAAATCACTGTGCGTGTACAAGCTTGGCTATAAACAATTTACAGTAGGCAAGATAATATATTTGTTTGGTATTTTAAAGGAGAAATGTTAACTACTAAATGCAGAAATTCCTGTTTTCTTGGCTTTGAATTTAGGTCTTCAGAGATATGGGTCTTCCCCTTTCCTTTCTAGACATGCTCTCAAATCCCATGTTATTAAAGCTTTGTGGGGGTGGAAGGCATGGAACCAGAGTATTTGTGTACAGTCTCCTTTTAGCTTAGGCCTTAGGGAGATGAAGGACACAGGTTGAATTGAGTTTAGTCCACATTGTGTCTATAAAACATAGTTTTACAATGGGCCATTAGACCTGATTATAAAAAACAACCAAAGGAAATTACTTCAGGGTTGAGCCTTTTATACTTAGCATAACCTTTCTTGATTTCAGTCACGTTGACCTGTCTGGTGAAGTTGCACATCCATTCCCAGTTTAAACATTAACCAGTATTTACTAAACTGTTAAATTGTCTTCATGTGGTTAGTAATTATGGATTGCTGATAGTTGCAGTGTCTGTCTGTATGAGAATGAGCAGATAAATGGTACCTATATTATATATAAGCTAATGTGTAGAATGTATACTGGATTATCTACCTTAGTGAGTATGTGTATATATGTATGTATTTGAATGCCAACATATTAAATATTTGTGTATGGTTTTTGATTTCACTATAATCTGCTGATTACAGTAGATAGTCTCTTTTCAATTTCTGCAATTGTGGGAAGAGTAGCGTTGACTTAACAAGCTGATGACAGGCC